ATTATGATGCAATGCTTCGAGGAAAAATGAATTTTCAAAGATTGTAACACCTGGCATTTGGGATAGAAAGCAAGCAATACTTTACTCTAATATAGCCAAAGGCGTTGAAAATGAGTTCATTGGTCATACAAGAACTTCACCACTTCCTAACCCTAAATACTATAAATTAACTGGCTTCAATCGTGAGTTTTGGATAGACATGTTCTCCACTCATGACCATAAATGTCCAGTGTTCTTGCCTCCAGATGGGAAGGACTGTCTCTACATTGAAGCACAACTCTTAAACTCTACCATCGCAGTATTGTAAAATCTACGCTAGCTTTATTTTTATCACGAATGACCTCATTGCTGACAAAAATAAGCCGCTAGCGGCAAGGGCGAAGCCCATGACCTCATTCATGACCTCATTGCTGACAAAAATAAGCCGCTAGCGGCAAGGGCGAAGCCCATGACCTCAGAACTTCAACTTACGAATAAAGCTTGTTTTAGTCGTTATTGAAAAGTTGAAACTTTTCAGCAAAGCAAGGTTGACATGACTTACATAAGTCGAATGCAATCTCTTGACCATCATAAAGTGCTTTGTAAAGTTTCATTAAACTGAACTCAGAGTCTTTGTCATATGTTTCCAACAGGTATGTGAATGTTCTTATCTTCATTGTAATAGCATTGTATAGCTTCAGGAAACATTTCATTAGCGGTTAAAGCAATAACATCTTGCTTCACGCCTTTCATTCTGCAGTGAAATGCAACTTCATTTAAATCGTTAGTGAGTAAGTCTATGTAGGTCTTCTTTCCACAGAAAATACTTTTATAAGCTAAACTTTGTTTTCCAGGTGTTATTTCTGCAAAGTCGCTATGAAATTGACCAAGGTTCTTCCTATAAGTTCGCGACCATATCTCTTCTTAAACTCTGCTGCAAGCTTTGGGATGTCTTCATTATATAAGTGCATACTGTCGGTATCCTGGTAAAAGATTTGAAGTCCCATGTCCTCTGCAGTACAGAATACTTCATTCATAATACGTTTTGACATAGACAGAATATTAACACCAAGTGGACAGAAGTTAAAGTGTCTGCAAATGCTTTTCGTTAGCTTGAAAATAGTTTTATCTGAACCATCCAAACCTTCGAACTTCACTATATGGTTGTAATTTCTTATAGCATATCTTATAGCATCTTTGTCATTTACTATGGTTATTTTTGACTCAATAGGAGATAGAATAGTTTTTGCCATAAATGCTGTTCAGAATGAGTTTTATAATTTCTTGTAAGGGGTTTCCTTCTTTCTATACTTTAACCTTAACTCAAACAACTTCTTTACTTCATCTCTTATTCTCATATCTCTGTTTCCATCGTAATAGTATCCTTGCAACACTTCACATTTGACACATTGATATTTTATGAGGTCTTGTAATGTTATATGGTCAACATACATGAGACAGCAAGTGTTTGAACTTCTTGGAACGTTAAGTTCTGGATTTAGTTCAGGGTTCGCAAACTATTAAATGAAAGTGTCTGGGTATACCAATCTCTGTTATCTTAATGAGAACAAAGAAGCCAGACATAAACTTTTCACCAATGGGTTCCTTTTGGTCATCATCGAATAAATGTCTCATGAGATACTCTGTGCTTAGCATCTCATCCTTCAATACTTTTGGAATTCCTTCTAAAGTATAAAGTCTTGCTATAGCTGAAGGATATAATGAAACAGTGTCGAAGTCAGCAATGAGTTTCTTTTTGCTCTTTTGTTTCATGTTATCTGACAACATACATCTTCCACCTTGAATGCATCTCGAAATAAATTCTCTTGGTTTATTTGAGAGGTCATAAAGATTTCCATTCGGGAAGTATACTCTGTTCTCAAACAATTTGTTAGCAATAGAACAAATACTAACGTAGTCATAAACGTTTAAATCAAACTCTTTCAATAAGTCATTGCGGAACTTTACAAACCTTCTCTTAAAATTCTTACATCTTGTTTGCAGTAAAACGTGCTATATTTTTCTAAGTCGAAGTGGTTTTCATCTATTCTGCAACCTTTGATGGAATCTATGTTCTTCATAAATGTATCTGCATCATGGATAAACTTACATGCTTCAGAAATGACACCAGTTCTGTTGTCATTTGCTAACAAAACACTGCTGTAGTAGTTATATGGAAATACTTCTTTCGGTCCTGTTTGTAAGTTAAACATAGCAGGAAATAGTTTAAGCTTCTTATTTATAACACTGTAAGAGTTTTATAATAATTGCCCGTCCTTTATATAAACCAGTTATTTGCATTGTTCGTGAACCTTTAATGATGGGAGTTCCTTCACTTCTGTCATGTGTCTTAAGATGAAGTTTATGTCATAACTGAGGTTATGGAAATATATTAAACTCTTGTCAGGAAGTCTTTCCAAAAATTCTGTTGCACAGTTTTGACCCCAAATGCTTTCACTCACTGAACCATCTTCACTGTCATAACAGATGTTAAAAGCTTTATGAAAGCCATCCGTACTACACTCAAAGTCAGCAAAGAAAACGTGCTCAGGAATGAATTTACATTTAGCTTTATTTACTTCTTTTGACTCTGCTTTCTTCTTCAGTTGTACACAATACTTTGGAGCATATGTCAAATCTTTAAATGGTGCAAGGTTCTGTTTATATAAGTCAGTAGTATATGTGAAAAGTTCTCCATAAGAAATAGGTTCGAAATATTTGCACTCCCACAATGTTTTCATAACATCCCATAGCGGTGTTGTTCTATCATAACGAACTACATATTTATCTTCTCTCTTTGTATAAATCTTCATCTGTTTCTCAATGTTCATTCCACCACACTCCTTCAAGATTTCTATATAGTTTCGAATGAAGTATGTTGTCATTGGTAATCTTTCATTTAGCATGTAGTGGTCTTCAACAAGAAGTAAGTCAATAGTTCTAACAGTTTCGCATTCTTTTGGTATATATCTCTTTATTTCATTATGTCTTGAGTCATTGAAATAACCAATGGTAACATTAAATGCTATACCTGTTGAATCGGAAATTTCTTGTACTTTACTTTGAGGAAAGTCTCTAACACGAATGACTTCTCTCATGTGGTCAATAGTTTCTTCATTTACTCCAGCCTGAATGCAAGCATAAACGAAACAATTGTCCTCTGTCATAAGTGTTGCAGTTCTTTTGTTCAGTTCATTGAAGATTTGGTAGCGTTCAAGATTTATAGGTAATGTGCAAAGATACTTCCAGAACTGACCGCTTCTCTTCTTATAAAACTTCTTTTCACCATTATCTTTCCAAAAGCTTTCTATAAGTGCTGGGTTTCCTGTTTGCTTAAGAGCTTCCAAAATGGCTTTCTGGTCATTTGTCAGTGTGCTTTCATCTCTATATGGTCTCTTTTTTGGTTTGCCTTTCTTTACATCTGACATCGTTAAGCCTTCATATTCTGTTAAATCATACATCTTTATTTCGGTAAGATTCTTTATGTTTGTCAAGAAGAAGTCATAGTGCATTTCAACAATACCTGCAGCATTTGCTTCTATCTCTGATATAAAGTTCTCCTTCAAGAGCTGATGTAGTAATGTTCCAATATTATTGAGGTTTAACGTAGAACATTCATACTTTCCACCAAGTTTATAACATACCATCCATCTCTGTTGCGAGTTTATTTTAATTTTCTCTAAGAGTCTCATGAAAACCTTACCGAAATGTTTGTGTAAGTAGTCTCTGTTTGGTTCATCTAAAGCTTCGATGTTAAAGTCAATGAGTCTATTGCCTGACTTCACATTTCTCTTCCTATTCTCTTCATCTTTCTTTAACCATCTCTCACCTTCTTTTGGTTTGTCGTCAATGGAACGAATGACATCGTTAGCTTTGCGAACTTGTTCTATAGCACTTTTAAACATCTCTCTTCTCTGTTGTTTCAGTGTGTCATCTCTCTTTCGTGTTTCACCAACGTTTGCATTTGTTATGTCAAACATCTCTCTTCTTACTTCATGAGGTACAGCTCTTCTTGTTTCACCAACGTTTGCATTTGTTATGTCAAACATCTCTCTTCTTACTTCATGAGGTACTGAACGTCTATGATATAAGTCAATAGCAATGTCATTTAAAGGAAATGCTCTTGCATGGACTTCGTCCTCGCCGCGTTGCGGCTTTATGAACTCATGAATTCTATCATAACTTATTGCACCATTATAGTCTTTAATGAAGTCAGCGAGTGCTTTTTTGTTTGTTGCGTAATGCTTTGCAACATCTATATTAGCTTCTGTAAGAAGTTGTTTTATTTCCGAGTGTTCTAACTTAGACAACTTCCGATACATCTTTAGTAGGAAATAAAAAAATATTTTTGAAAAAATTAGATTAGATTTTTTTTAAGTTATTTTTCAAAATAATTTAATATTTTTATTTTAATGAAACACATGCAAGATTGCAAGTTCTTTTCATACAATGCTCTCGCTACTGCCATCAAGAATGAGTTCAATAATGCTTCAAACGTTAATGTTATCTTTAACAAGAAGTTTGTGAAAGAATCTAAGTTTGGTCAGTATGTCAGACCATTAGCTATCGTCATTGACCGCAAACGTTATACTTCACAAGAGTTAGCAGTAGTTTTGAAACAAAAGGGTTTCTTCGTGAATGTCAAAGATACACACTATACTGTCATAAAGAACTCCAACATTGACTTCTTCAGTATTGCTATGAATCTTTCCGAACAGAAAGAATATAAGAAGGGTGAAACATCTGTGAAATATTATCCTTCATCTCTGAAGACAATAACGAACAAAGATGTTATACAAAAGTTCTTACCAAAGGTTGAAGAAGCTTCAATTGACATTGACGAAGGAAGTGAAATGGTTGAAGAAATTGACCCTGAAGCTATTTAACCAAAAATATATTTTTGGTGAAGAGACCCAAAGGGTCAGAGCCGCAAAGCGGCTAGGTGAGATATCACCTGTTTTTTCACCTCATTCTCTCTTCGTTAATGTTGTCGTGACTTCTTCGTTAATGTTGTCGTGACTTCATTCTTCCTCTTTGAAGTTATCGAAATATTCTGTTATTTTTTCCTTCAGTAATGTTAAGTCTTCTTTGAAGGTAAGTATTGTGCAACCTTTGATGTCATAGTGTGTTTGAGGAAGAGTATTTTTGACAATTTCTTTTATTTGCTCATTCGGTGTCATTGAAATCGGTAAGTTTTCACGATAGAACCAGTTTCTGTCAGATTTATATATTTTAGCAAGGTCGTAAAAGCTTTTGTTGTTTCTTCTGACTAAATGCAACATAACCATATCTCTATCTTCTTCTTTCTCCAACTCTTCAGTATAAATCATATACTTATAACTCTTTTCCTTTCCTTTTGGTACTGAACGTGGTATTCTTTTCTGTATGCTTTTGTCTTTGGATTCAATGACTTCATCTTTTGCTTGAAGTTTCTTTTCCATCTCTCCACGTTCTGCTTATATAGTTCATCTAACATCATGAAAATATAACAAGCATAACGTGTGAAGCCCACATTGCAACAGCATTTACTAAAAGTCTATGAACATAATATCCTCTCAAACCGTTTGGCAATTTTTCACGTTTTCATAGAGTTTTGCGACTGGGATTTTTTACCTACTCGCTGTTCTTCACTTTTTCAGAAAAAAGTACGTCTCGCTGTGCTTCACTTAATAGTTCTATGGTGCTTTGGTTCCTAAACCAGTCTTTAGGAAGCTTAGTATCTGGAGCAAAACAAGCCGTCAAAATACTTTGCATTTGATACATATCATCTTTGACTGAACGAATGAGTCTCAATTGTTTTGTTATATTGTATGTATTCGTATTCTTCATTTATGGCTTCATGAACGATAGCAGTTGTTTGTTCTCTAATGTTGACATATCTGTCTTTACATACAGGATAAAAAATAAATAAAATAAAAACTAACTATTATTTTTTTTGAGATAAACACTATATTCTTCACAACATTAAATTTTATCCTGTATGAAATGACTTTAAAAAGATTATTGACTGACTTCGAATACTATATCTCATTGACGCACTGACAGACCCTCAAAACTGTGTTGAAAGTTCTTTAAGCTTTAAGATTGAAGGTACGACGCATTTTGTCTTCACTTACGTATTGAAAGAATATGACCGTTATCATAACGAAGTGAATCAAACACTAATAAAATTTGTAGATAAAAAATTGCTCATTCGCTAGGATTCAATGACTTCATCTTTTGCTTGAAGTTTCTTTTCCATCTCTCCACGTTCTTGTCTTAAGTTCGTCAAGAATTGTAAATATTCAAGCATAACGTGGTGAAGCCCACATTGCAACTGCATTTACTAAAAGTCTATGAACATAATATCCTCTCAAACCGTTTGGCAATTTTTCACGGTTTTCATAGAGTTTTGGCGACTGGGATTTTTACCTACTCGCTGTTCTTCACTGTTTTCAGAAAAAAGTACGTCTCGCTGTGCTTCACTTAATAGTTCTATGGTGCTTTGGTTCCTAAACCAGTCTTTAGGAAGCTTAGTATCTGGAGCAAAACAAGCCGTTCAAAATACTTTCATTTGATACATATCATCTTTTGACTGAACGAATGAGTCTCAATTGTTTGTTATATTGTATGTATTATTGTATTCTTCATTTATGGCTTCATGAACGATAGCAGTTGTTGTGTTTCTAATGTTGACATATCTGTCTTTACATACAGGATAAAAAAATAAATAAAATAAAAACTAACTTTATTTTTTTTTGTGATAAACACTATTTCTTCACAACATTAAATTTTATCCTGTATGAAATGACTTTAAAAAGATTATTGACTGACTTCGAATACTATCTCATTGACGCACTGACAGACCCTCAAAACTGTGTGAAAGTTCTTTAAGCTTTAAGATTGAAGGTACGACGCATTTTGTCTTCACTTACGTATTGAAAGAATATGACCGTTATCATAACGAAGTGAATCAAACACTAATAAAATTTGTAGATAAAAAATTGGTTAACAATGAATATTTTAACGTGAAGACCCAAACACTGCTGGAGATGATGAAGAATACAAGACAAGTTATTGAAAAAAATAAGCCAAGATTAGATGCAATAGAAAAGAAGTTTAATGAATGTCTTACAAACACGTATGAATATCTTATGCAGTGGGAAGCCAGATGGAAATAAATTTACGTCAAATATGCAATTTATAAAATCTTATGTCGACAGGCTACGTAGCACAGTGGTCTAAGGTGGTGTTATGGAGGGGTCAAGGTCTGTGGTTCGAACCGCGACAGCGCCGTATTTTCTTATTTTCTTTATTTGTCTTGTTTGTCGTGAATAAAAAGTGTCATAAAAGTGCTCTATCTTCCACGGGAATAAATAAAAAATTTACTTTATTTCTTCTTTATTTCTTTGTTCCCGTGGAAGAAGGGTTTTGCTGTTTTTTCTCAGCCGAAATCAATGATTTTTTCATTTTTGGAATCCTTAGCGAATGAGGAAAATTTGTAGATTAATAATTTTTATCATAACGAAATGAATCAAACACTAATAAAAATAAAATTAGTTTTATTTTTATTTATTTTTTTATTTTGTATGTAAAGATATGATTTCAACAATCGGCACAACAACAATTCAAGCCGCGAACGGCGGGACTCTGTCCACAACAACTTCACCAAACTCGTTAGTCATGAATCCAACATCTATGTTAGTAGAGATGAAAAGCTTCATTCCTTCTTCATAATACTTCGAAACAAAAATCCAGAAGATAAAGCAGAAGAACTTTTAACAAGTTAATTTAGACTGTAGTGCGAAAGATGAAACATAATGAACAGTATCTTTATGAAATGCAGGACATTATTTGACCATTTACCTAAACTACCTAAATTCAGCATCAAAAAACTAACGTATTCCTGAATTCGATGAAATAGAAGTGAAACCAAAACTGACTCAGTTAGAAATAAAAGAAGTTCATTCGAAATAGGTAAACTATGAGTTTCTAGGATTTCATTGCAACCATAAGGTTATGGACAAAGATTTGCGACATGGTAATATAAGAATGTTTCTGACATATACTAAATCCGGGGGTTTAAGACCTACGACTCTTGTTCGTTAGTTGCTGAATGTGTATGGCAGATAAGAGATAAAGATAGAAGAGGTAAAATATGGAACGAACAGATAAGACCAACTGCTTTTGAGTTAAGAAAAACCATTGAGCCTTAGTTGTTTTAGCAGGTAAGGTTTCAGAATATAACGCAAAAATGTCCGCAATGTTCTAAATGTAAAGCAGCAATTGGAAATATAACTACTCCGTCAAAGAGATAGAAAGAATGCGAAACGACTATGCAGACTAAAGAAAGAAGCAGAAAAGCAGCAGAAAATAAAATGGACATGTTAGCATTTCTGAACAAAAACTATCCAACTGCTGACGATTTCCTTCTATCTGACGTCAAGAAGAAATATAAAGAAACTTTCGGCATTGTTAAAACTTTTGACATACTGACAGGAAGAATAGAAGCTACGAAATTGTTTAGGATTCAAATATACAATCGTACATTCATGTTAACGCTTGTGAAAAAACTGTGGGTGAGAAAACATGGTGAGAAACGGGCGTGACATCTCACCTAGCCGCTTTGCGGCTCTGACCCTTTGGGTCTCTTCACCTATAATATATTTTTTGGTGAATTCAATAAAAATAAATGGTTCATTTACTCACAATATTTTGTACAAAACGACCCCAAACTTTAACTTCTTTTCTGCAGCTTCAAATGCTATCTTAGCGAGTTCATATTTCTCTAAATTCTCTCTTTAAATCTTTCTTGTTCCCATTGGTCTAGTTCGTATGGAGAATCTCTATAAACCATAATATATCTCACGTTCATGTTTTCTAATTGTTTTTCACACATTTTTCCAACTTCTTCTTCGAACAAAGGTTTAAGCATTCTCCACTGTATCTTCGGTTCTTCTTCATCTAACTTCTCATGAAACTTTCTTGTCTATGGAGTCCATAATATCTTTGACATAAAATGCATACTTTACAGAGCACCATTCAGCAACAAAATGAACGAGGTCAGGATGTATGTAAATACCTTTGAATTCATTCATAACGCCCTTGTAAGCTCATAAAAATGCGTTTTTTGAGGTCGAGCCACTTTTGGCTCCACCGTATTCGTTCATTCCAAAACTCAAGAATTTCCTGCATTTAGTACTATTGAGAAATCTGTTTTAAAATGGTTTAACCTTCCGCTTCTCTTGCCATCTTTGTTGCATTAATGTAACCAATTCCTTGTCTCTACGTAAGACTTCAATACCGTTATAAGTGCCTTTTGTGAATGTTTCACCATTAGATTTGTTTTGTGAATTTTTTTGCTTCGACTGACATTTCTGTTCTTACATACAAAATTAAAAAAAAATAAAAATAAAAACTAACATTATTTTTGGTCTTTTGTGAAAATTCATGAAAGTTCAAGAGGTGAAAAAAGAGGTGAGAAAACAGGTGAAATCTCACCTCTTCACCTAAATTATATTTTTGTCTGATTTACATCCAACGAAAAAGTTTAGAAGAATTTTCTTATTCTTTCTGGCATGTTTTTATCTTTCCAGTACTCCCGCTCTAATGGTCCCAGATGAGTTGGTTTAGATTCTCTCAAGTTCTTAGATGGTATAACATCTTCAACGCCTCCTTCATATCTTACTTTATAAGTGTCATCGTTTGTGTTATAGTCAAGTATTTCAATAACCACTCCTCGCTTTGCTTCGTCAATGGTTTCAGCAAGTTTGCCATTACTACTTTCGACTAATTTATGTCGAGGGTAAAATGCTATGGAGTCGTCAGCAGCTTTTATAAGATATCCATTACCTTGCGTAGAGTCTACGATATAATAATTTCGACTTAACCTTAAACGTTTCTTTGTCAATGGTTTGTCGTCAAGAACTACACGAACTTTTGTACCAGGAATGAGAGTAAATTGTGTTGAATTTCTGATATTTTGTGTTTGGCTTCGTTTCTTTTGTATATACTTTTCTTCTTGTTGTTGTGTCATTGAATTTGGTGTATGTCCTGTTGTAGAATGTGTTGAGGAATTATATACTTCGAGAAAATGTTTCATTGTTTCTTCGGTAAAGTCTCGCTCTTGATTTAAATCTCTGAGAGTCCTTATGAAGCGGTTAATGATACCGAGTATGTTATGGTTATGGTCTTCAGTAGTGTAGTGAGTTATGTTATGCTTAATGAGAAATTCTGTGATTTCGTTGCTGAGGTATGCACCGTCTTGGTCTGATGTTAAAATACTTGGGCTATGTTCTGCTACAAACTTTTGTAAAACTCTTAACACTTCATGAGTTCCTTTATTTCTCATTATATACGCATATGCTTTACGAGTGTTAACATTTATGAAGATGAGGAATGGTTTATGTCCTCCTTTTCTGCTTTGAATGAGAGTGTCAAATTGGTATGCGTCAGGAGTGTT